TGGGGTAAGGGGTCTTTAAAGCCTGGACTAGCTGAATGAATGGGTCTCGGCACTACAGCGGGTGGGGCAAAGCCCCAGCCTGCCCTCCCCCTCCGGCGGCGGAGCGGCTCCCCGGGCCGGGGGGAGGCTCTCCCGGGCTCCGCTCCGTGCCCGCTGCCCCGACGGTGCGGCGAGCCCCGTGCGGCCGGCGAGCGGCACGGGCAGCGCCAGGGGCGCTGCCGCCGGCAGAAAGAAAGGGTTTCGGTGCCGGGGGCTCCCTTTCGGTGCTCGGCAAAGGCCAGTGCACCGCAGCCGGCTGAGCCCGACAGCTGCTCCCGGGTGAAACCGGTCCCCGCAATCGGATTGCTTGGGGGTTCCGAGGGCCTCATGAGAGGATCCTGCTGACAGTCGGTCCCGCCGCTTTATTCGCAGGCTCTGATCAAAAGGAAGGCTTCAAGCCTGAGGATCTTTCCCCACCGTGACACAGGGAGGCAGAGGGCGGCCCCCTTTCCGTCGGGGAAGGTGTGCTAGAAGCCACTGCCTTACCCTGTGTGAAAGGCTGACGCGAAAAGCCACCTCCGCCAGTCCCAGCAAAGACGGGGAGGACAGGCTCAGAGCGGGGGCAAAGGGACACTGGCTAAAACCACTTCTCGACATAGACGTCTTGAATTTTTTTTATTAACTTGGGGGCACACAATAAACATCATTTGAGGGGGGACGACACAGCAGGAGCAAGTATTCTTTAGGCTACTCAGTCACACATTTCCAGTTATCTCTGCCCAAAACACCTCTGCCCGAAATGCAAGAACATCTTTCCCTGGCTCTTCTCTATTCAATTTAAACCCACGGATGCACATAAATGCCCTAGAGACAGCCCGCTGCTGCCCCGACCGTGCCGGGGGCGAGCTGCCGCACTGTGTTCTGCCGCATTTTCCACAAAGAAGTGAGTGAGAGTCTCGCACCTGCAGTCGGTCATTCCCGGCGGCAAAAGCAGCGGGCGGAGAAGGGCTGCGAGGCGTGGGGAACCCGTGTCACCCCGCAGGCTCGAGCAGGGGCCACAACACCCCGGACCAAAGAGGGGCTGGCTCCCAGCAGAACACCCAGCCTCCCTCAGCCGGGCGGTAGCGGCCGTGCCCAGGCTCCCATCCGCTCCTGGTCACCCCACAGCCCTGGACCGCGGATAGGGACAGGCAAAAAGTCCCTACCTTCGAGGGACAAGGTGCCCGTCGCCATTTGAACCTGCTCCGAGCAGCCCATGGCAGAGAGGCAGCGGGTGGTCTTCCCCCCTCTGTGGGAGAAGGATATTGGGGAGGGCAGGGGTTCACCTGGGCAGCCCTGGGCTGTCACTCTGTCTTCCTGCTGGCTTCTTGGCCACCTGCCCCAGAACCCAGAGCATTGCTCACAGACAAGGTGAAGAAAACCTATAATTTTCTCTTCCAGATGGGACGAAGAAGCACTAGCGCGTTTTTGGGATCACTCGGTTCTGCAGCTACAAACTGAGTACTGCTCATCAGTACCTTAAGCATAGCTCTGCCTATTAATTCCAGACGATCCCTGGACTTCAGCTAACATTTTATGAGGATGGAATTTTATTTTAGGTTAAATACTAAGGAATTCTTTCAGTATAAGCCATAGTGTCTCAGACTGAACAACAATCACTTTTCCTTCGGTTTCTTAAGGCGCCAGATATAAGATAATATGATCTAGTGTCAAGGTGGTTTTCTGACAAGAACTATCTAGACTGGGCAAATTTCCTATGCAGAAGAGCTCAGAAAGCAGGTTGGAAGGGGAAGCAACATTCGGCATTTATTATCTTCCCTTCAAAGCATCTTTTAATGTAGCATCCCACTCAGGAGCAGCCGCCTCGCGCAGCATGTCCTCCCCGGTGGGGCCAGTGCCCTGGCACGCAGCCGGCGCAACCTCCGCTGCCGGAGCTCCGCCGCGGGGTCCCAGCCAGGAGCGTGCTGTGGGCAGAGCAGGAGCCGCCCCGGCGGCAGGTTCGTGCTGAGGATGCTGAACCACCTCCCCTGGCCAGCTCCCATTGTACGTTCGCTCCACGCCTGCGCCCTGCCCCACGCAGCCCCCGCCCTGCACCGCCGGGCTCGGAAACCCTCGCTCTCCCTCACTGACACGCATATTCACTTTGTTCTGATATTCCCCACATTCGGCACCCCACCTCCCCGTCCCTGCAGAACAAGAGTTGCGGGGTTCACTCGCTCCCCGGCTCGGCTTTCGGGTGTCGCTGGGGAAGAAGCCGAAAAACGCTGCTAATGTCAAATTTCCAGTCTTGGGAGGGCTCTCAGGCTTTTCTCTGCCACCCACTCCGGCTCTCCCGGAGGGCGGTGTCCCTTCAACTCCATCTGCCGCTTCCAAAAAAATCACAAGTACCTCTACCTTTCTGAGTAGGGAGGAGGGAAGCTGTGCCCTCCCAATTGCGAATTTACCCCTTAAAGACCGAATCTGTTTCCTCTGGTCCGGATCGCCCCGCCCCGCCCTGCCCTCTGCCGAGCAGCGTCCCTCCTGTTCTCTGGCGCCCGGCTTTAGCCCTGGGAATGGCAGTTTTCCTAAGGGGCGTCACGAAGACTTCTACCACCAGAGCCGAGACCGAGGGGCAGCGAGGCTGCTGGGATTTCTTAAGAAAGATCTCAGTTAATTGCTCACAATAAACATATCATGAGGGAAAACAATGCACATTGAGAGAGACAAATATTTTAACATTTTAAACTATTTTGCCCTTGAGACTGAAGTCTTCAAGCTCGACTGAGAGCCAATCTCACCGTGGGCTTGTATTGCTGAGGAAACGCAGCACAACATAAACGTGTTTTGCTGTGCAGCTTTATAGAAAATTGCCTTCAGCTTGACAGTAATCATCTGCACATCCGCACCTAGCGAAGGCAGAGGTAATGTGTTCAAAAGTATAATATTTGCAAGAGAGAGCAGATGGTGCTCCCTTGGGTGCAATTTCAGGAGAAGCCTTGCATTCTGCACTTCTCGAGGTCTGTTTTACCCGCACAGGTTTAATGCTATAAGAGCTCTATATTTTTTTTCTTTGGCAATGGGGTCACAAACACACTCAACACTAGCCCAGCGTAAGATGTTGCTGGCACGCGTCACAACCCTTCCCGCTTTGAACAAGCAGGGAGGATACAAGCGGAGTAGACAGGTGATTAAACAAGTGCCTGTGTGATTACTTTCCCGCATCACATTCCGTGTGCCCGCCGAAGGCAGTTACCGAGCTAGATGGGTTTGTACTAGGACAGGAACTGCTGAGAATGCATTACGGCGTGTTTCTCTCGCAGTGTCAGCAGCCGGACAGGGCCGGAAGCCCTCTCACAAGCCATATAAAAGCACGGTAAGAACACCCCTAAGCACGAAGGCCTCCGGGCGTCCTTGATGCGGGATAAGCAATCAGGGCCCCCGTGAGCCTGTCAGCTCCCTCTCCCGGGCAGGTACTGACTGAGTCACCTGTGTGTTTTCTCGGCACAAGAAGGCACGATTCGGTTTTGCAGCCTTTTGGGCTCTTGAGCTACTGGGCTTTAAATTTGCCGCCTGGCCAGAGGAAGCCGGGTGAAGGCAGCGGAGGAATCGCCCTCTCCGCCGACCCATCGGACACAGGCGCTGCCCAAAGCAGCCCCGTTCCTGGGCGTCGGCCCTGCGGCCAGCATTGCCGCGCCCGGCGGCGGAGGAGCGCTTCCACGGGAGACGCGCCGCGCCCAGGCTCTGCCCGCAGCCGGGGGCTCCGGCGGGGCCGGCGCACACCGTGGGACCTCCCCGCTCCCTCCACGCCCCGCTGCGGCGGGCGAGGCTGAATAAAGAGACGCCGATCGTGCCCAGCAGAGAGGAGAGGGATGGGGGTAGAGTGAGCCGTGAGAACAATTTCGCTAAGAGAATGAGGGTCTCCTGCCAGCACCCAAGGATCACCGTTAGCAGCGGCTGGCATGCAAATTACTGGTACCCGGAATCCCTGAAGGTTCCTGTGCGAGAGCATCTTTCCGCTAGACATGAAAGAATATCGGCAGGCGGCGGATGCTGAGAAACCCAAATTGCACCGCCAGCCAGACATGCAGGGAAAAAAAAAAAAAAATCACGTTCTTTTGGCACGTGAACAAAGCCCTCGGCAATAACTGCGCTGGTAGGAAGGGGAGCTGGACCCGCCGCTTGCTGTCCCCACTCAGGACGGCTGGTGGGGCGCGATGTGGGTGATCCACGAAGCCAGTGGGAGCTCCATCCTCGCAGGATGGCTGAGAGAAATCTCGCAGCGGCTCGCAAACCGATACCGTGTCGGTAAGAGATGGCAGCTCGGCTTTCATCCTCATGCCAAAGGGAATCCTCGGCGGATGGCACAGGATCTACTCCAGGGGAAGCAGTCCAGCAAGAGCCGAGGAAAGCCAGGTAAGCTACGTTAGGGATAAGAGGTGTTCCTGTAACTACCACTGACGTGCAGCCTATTATAGTTAGGAACAGATCGTCTTGTTTTAGCTTTTACTATCGAGATCTTGCGAAATGCAATGCGTTTTTTAGTACATGACAGGACAAGGAGAGCTCCCTTTTTAACGATCCTTTTGTGCGTTTTCTTTCCCCACCGAGCAGAAACCGGTATTTAATTTTACAATACAGATAATTGCCTTAAATGTACACTGTAAGCAAACAGACTTCATCCTTGGCCGCACTTCAACAATCCTAAAGAAAAACAGTAAACAGAAACGCCTGAAGCACCGCTTCAGAGCTTATGCTAATGTTTTAAACTTCCCTTCTAATAACCGAGCGGTACATGACTTGGCAGAGCACACCTAAGGAGGCAGGGCCGCACGGGCGGTCTTGCAGCAGCTGATCGCCTTAGCAGTGTAACGCGGGGGAAGCGGATGTTATTTGTTTCCCCCCGAAGAGTATAAATCTGCGGCGATCAAAGCTGCGCTGCTGAAACCCTGCCGGGCTGCCAAAGGCACACGGCTCGCAGGCAGGCAGCGCCGGGGAGCGGCGCGGAAGGCGGAGGAGCAGCGCTGACTAGCGGCCGCGGCTCCCGGCTCCAGCACCGAGAGAACGAACGCGCCCGCCCCTTTCACCTCAGAACGGCCCTGCTCGCATCCACCCCACGCAAGTTATTATACAGCTCATCCACAGGGTTGTCCCCTAGGCAGGACAGAGTAGCCACCAGCATTTAAGCGCACAGAAGAGAAGCTCTCGTGTGGGGGCTGTCTGCGGGCACCGCCAAGCCACGCAGCCGCGGGAAGGCGGCTGAAGTCAGCCCGACCCTTCCAGGCTGCGGCAGCCGGGCACGCACAGACGGGGCTGGGAGAGCGGCAGCAGAAGAAAAATAACATCGGGCACCTACTGCGTCTTAAGTTCAGCTGTGGTTTGAGTCGCACTTAGATTCACCCCACCTACTTTGATTTTCTGCACAGCACACACTTGTACTAATAATGAGTACTCTTAGAGAATGAAGCCGAGGTGGATAAATACATAACCATCATGAAGACCAAGCAAAGAGCCACAGATCTGAGGCAAAGCTCAACAGTCCTCCACACAGCCAAAGCTAGCAGCCACACATTATTTTTACAATTTAAAAAAAGCACATTGGAAGTCATCACACAGCTTTACAGCTTGTACACATTCTGATTAATTTGTAATGTATTTTGTAAGGGTTTGGGACCCTTGAGATGTCATACAGCTTCTAACACTTCTTGTCCTAATGAAGCAGGACACCATTTTCCCAAAGGACAGGAAACAGATGAATCTCTCACAGAACAGCAGCTTGAATCAGTATCAGAGCTATCACAGGATTTCACTGTGAACTTTATGCTAATTTAGAATTAGCACAATACCAAATATAGTAAAGAGGTTTTCATAATCAGTTAAATTTGATGCAATTTAAATAGAAAGAAGCATTGAACAGTGCAGCTGCTGAAGTCTACTTTTCAAGGTGCTCACTATATTCCCTCCTTGCTCACACACACCCAAAATAAACCAGTACTGTCCTCAGAGAAATTGGTTGACCATGTCTCAATCCATTTCCACGCATTACTGCAATTACAGCAAGTTTGATTCAGGAAACAGATGAGAAGAACCTAATGCTGGGTTTCCCTCTTTTGCACAGAAAATAAAAATAAATTCTTATATGTAAATACCGCACACCCTATAAAAGAATTTATAAACATGGGAGCACTAAGGTGGTGCTTCCCTGGAAGGAAGAGGTATGAAATACTTATACCTTTAGGTTCCTAAGGTTTTTCAAAATGCTTAAAGTTCATTAATGTTTGTGACCTGCATGCATTTTAAACCCTAAGGTAATGTTCAAATTGCCTTGTGTTTCCCATGTAACTACAGGTTGGTAAGGCTGAATGTTTTATTCTTCCTTGAGGAAGAAAACCATCCCCTGTGCTTCCTACCTCACAGGATAGAACCAAGCACAGTGAAGAGGAAAACACTTCCTTAGCTTCAAATATTCCTGTTTAACTTATTTTCTTGCTTCTTTAAAAAGCTAAATGATACAACCACAAGTGCTGTCTTGTAACCCCAAACACATGAATTCCTGAAAGGCAGCTGATGAAACAGCCATGTTATGAAGCAATTAATTATCAAAGATAATTGATTGGTGGCCCAGGATTGGATTACAGGAGATGTTTTTAAAGATAAAATTGCAAAACCAAAAGGGCACAGATGCAAACTCAAAACTAGGAAAGAGGGGCAATAGCATTAGACACCCTACAAACACAAATCTCTGATAGGCTCTCTGACAGTTCTCAGCTGCCAGCAGGGAATTTGGCAAAGAGCTAGCAAGGATGCCAAGGGAGTCAGACACCAGCAGGATGCTGCTGCTGAAGAAGACACTGCTACAGTTCAGCCTTTGTCTATGCCAGGTGTGAAATGTGGTGCATCTGCAGTGCCAGCTACTGCTTCAGTGCTGGGGAAGGCAGGCAGAAGACAAGAGAAGATATAGCAAAACTAACAGGCTTAGAAATACTGCTGAGTGAGAGTCATTGTTACAGGCTTGCTTTGTATTTTTTTCCTCTTTAAAATGATATGATAATTTAACCTAATAAGAACAGATATACCCAATTAGTATTCCTAAACACAATAAATTAAATTATGATTATACCATTTAAATATAATCACTGGTTTATATTTAGCCTCAAGATTCAGAATGAAGAATCAGTAAGCAACACAGCCCTTCCAGAACACTGGAAGAACTAAACCCAGGTTTCATTCATCCTGACTAAAAAGTCAAAATGTGTGGCAAGTGTTCATATGCAGGGCAGTTGTACAGAGCTTTAAAGAATTTCCAGAAACAGAGTAAAAATGTCTGTAGGCACACACCTCCAAAATTAACATATCTAAGAAACTCTGTCATTTCATATTGAACTAGATATAGATATATGTGTAAAATGCACTATTGACAGATTTCAAAGACTGACTAGCAACTATTCCCGCTGAGAACAATTACAAATACAGAGCCTTCTAATTCATTCCCCAAAAGCCTTTCTGGTTTCTTAAAGGAGGAGTACAAAGTAACATTGGTGCAGCTTTTCAGAGTTCTTGTAGTAAAAAAAGTGAGAAACAGGTAAGCAACTGTCAGTTATTTGAAAGAATTATTTCCTGCTAGCATCAGAAGTCAAAACCGATAGGTTTCATTTAACTTTTCAAGGTTAAATACATTTTATACCGCCTATCAAAATTCTCTGTATCACTTTAAAATAAAGAAAAATAAATAAAACAGAATTCCCAATTTTTATAGCTACATTTCATGTTTTACCCTAGAGCCCCAAGAGCTTTAGGCAGATAATAAATTCATATGGAAAACAAACACCACCATACAGCAATACAGAAACAGATTCTCCAAGTGTCTAATCCTTACTCATGGGGGCAAGACTAAAAGTTGAATTATGAGCAGACAAAGTAAATAAAAATACCTGATTCACACTCTGAAATCTCAGTGCTTGCACATGACCACAAGCCATCATTTTTCACAGCTATAATTATTGTACTTGCTACATTAACATGACTTTTGTAGCCAGAATTCAGCATGCTAGGAGTACCAGTAGTTCTTGGAGTACTGTATTACATCTTTCCAAAGTAACATGTATTTCAACCAGCCTTATTTGAGAGTCCTTCAGGCAACCACTTACAGTGATAAAAATTGGGGAAAATATCCCAACTAAACAAAATGCCCCCAACTATTGTGACATATTCCCAAGCGAAATATAAGGGCTAAGTCACTTATGCACTTTGGTCAGAATCAGAAGTGGAAGAAACAGTACACAGGGATATTGTTGAACATGTCTTTAAATAAGGCATTCAAGGGTATATTTGTGTGTGGCAGCTTGGTTTAGGAACAAAAGGTGCAAATATTTTTCAGAACAGAACATAATAAACTAAGCAATAAAGGCTAAAAGTTTTTTCACAGCCTCACCAAATGAATTTGGTTCAAATCCAGAACAGAAAGTCAAAGGTCCAGTGAAATCCCACTCAAGCATAATAAATAAGACTGAAAACCACCTTTGCCAAGGACAGAAACATCCAGGCACATACAGTCATTGGGTGGGGATTTTACCTGGCACACAGACCAAGATGAGCCCCACAGCTCTACCCCTTCTCAGCCAGTTTAGTATTCCACAGGTGCACAAACACTAAGCCCATATGGTGTAGGCACAAAGCCTTTTAGCTCTTAGTGAACTTAGAGAACTCATTGCCAAAACTATTTCTTCCTCCTGTCAAGTGCCATCACATTTTTTGTGCTTATGTGTAGACCGTTCAAAAGAAAAGCTCTCCTTAAAAAGGGAAAATCTTTTTTATGCAGGTTTGGTTTGTTTTTAAATAATTATCCTTTTATAGCTATAACCTCAATACCAATTAGTCAGGAGTATCAGTGAACCTGAAATATTAATCACCGGAAAGTTTACTTCTAATACAAAACAGCAAAAGCCAGTCTATTTAATCTCCAAAATGCCTGCAATCCTTACATTGCCTTGCAATCCCAAATACATACATGCAAGTAAAATTACTAAAAAAATGTTCTTACCTTTTCCTTTGAAGAAAAATAGCAAGGTACACCAGAAATGCTGTCACAGAAGTTCCTTGTTCCATAGGGCTTGGACAGATCTTCCCTAGCAGGATATCCTTAAATAAAGCCTGGAGCCAGCCTGGGCTGGACTCCTGCATGAAGTGCACAGAGCAGCCCGGTGGATTTGTAAAGCTGAACTCAAGTGCCTACTGCACCCTCTCAACATAACACCAACACTGCAGCTCCTGACTGGAGCTGTAAGAGCAGCAAATCAGTTTCCTGCTTCTTTGACTGATTGACTAATGAGCACAGTAATCAGTAAACTATTTACACATGGAAACAAGAACACCTGAATGTTCTGACTTTTCTCGCTCATTCAGTGAGCTTTTCAATTTGATACAGAATCACAAATACATGGTATTTTGAATTTTAATCAATATTTCCAGTAACACTGTGTAAAAAATGCGAAGAATTAATTTATTTTCAGAGAGGAACACAGAAATTCTTAACTTGTTCAGTGAAGATTCCTTGCTAACACTCCAGTGCATACCACTCTGTCAGAAATCCATGACCAAACCATTGTCTCAGATTTTTTTTGCTCTTCTGGATTCACACATAAAAAAGCCCACATAGGTGTATGCCTCACTATTTATTCACTTGGATTGTCATATTGATCTTGTAGAGTGACACAGAAGCCAAATTTAACCGTTCCTTTACACCATAAGAAACTCTGTAGAATTCTAATATTAATTAAGCAAGCAGCAGTTTTCTGCACCTGTTCATAGAGCAGAGCAGCCTTACCAATGGACAATCAGCTGTACCATCACTACTAGAACAACTGAATTTCTTGGACAAAGTACAACTATTAAAATTTTGTCTTCTTACTCCAACATACACTATATTTTCAAGTCTTCTAATACAATACAGAATTAAACTCTCGTAAGACATTGGATGCAATTTTCAAATGGATACTTTTTTAACTCAAAGACTGAATAGCTGAGTAAGTCATTCAAAAAACACCATATTTCAGAACAATTGTTCCATTTCTACTCAATCCATCTCCTCATCAATAACATTCTTTCACTAGGATGTAGAAATCAGTTTCTAAATATTTAATTACAGCTGGAAAAAGATTACAAAATACAAAGATTTATTGTACTTGAGACTAGAGAAAAGTATTACTTTCATTTTTTCATTTTCTTTGAATTCGAGAAAAAGTAACAAGCAAACAAATGACAACAAAACCTAACAGATGTATGAACTAGTTTCACCAATAAAGCTTGGAAATTCAGAAAGGACTTCACCAAATAAATGTCAGTGGCTGAACCTGGCAGAAGCCATTCCCCACAGAAGTGCTGCATTCCTAGAATGAACTAATGCCCTTCAGTAACACAGAAAATCAGTTACTTAGGCAAGGCAGGACTTAGAAGAAACCAAGGATTAGCATCTCCAAACACTGGAGTCAAACGAAGCATTTTGGATCCCGTGTCAATTCAGAGCTCATCATGTTTTGCAGGGTCCAGACTGGGTTTGATGAAGACTCCCTCCATGGCTTTCCAATAGTTGTGGTGGTTGGCAGCAGGCATGCCATGAACTTCCCGCTGGCCTCTAATGGGGTGGCCGTACTGCTCCCCCGTGATGGACAGGAACACCTCAGTCCCCACGTGCTTGAAGCGCACGGCATCCTCCCGCTCCCAGTAAGTCCCACTGCACTGCACAATCCAGAAATCCAGGTCATCTCCTTCGCCATCATCCCCAAAGGCACTTACTTCCTGTTAGAGACACAAGCTTCCTGAAGTGAAAGTGTAAGCAAACACCTCCAGGACACACAGACATCAACCACAGACTCAGCAGAGATCAAAGACAAGGATGGGGAAAGAAATGCTGTTGTTTTGCTTTGTCAACAATTACCTAAGCCAGAAGCAGTAAGGTTCTACCAGACAATCTGAACACAAAGTGTCAACAAACTCCAACCTGTTCTCTGAGCAAAAAGTACTGGAAAAACTCTAAATAAAACAAAACCCCACAATGACAGTTGAATATTCTTACCTTAATGACAAGATACAAAGTGTCTACACTGAAAAATGAAACCCAGACGAAGGTTTCAGAGTAAACCTTTCCCTTAAAGAATTCTTTTGAAATGTTATTTTTCCATCACTTTTAATCATCAGATTATCAAGATACGCTACACAGAGCTGAACCTTATTGCTTCAGCCACTTTACTCATGGTGGAAGAAAAATTATTCCACAAAGAGTCACATCGTCCAAGTTTCAATGTAACAACCTATCTACACAGCCTGATGGAAGACTGACATGACTAATAACAAAAATCTTCCAACAACTGCATTATTTACAAGAGATCTTCCATTCTGGAGAGGTATTTGTTCTGGGGCTGAATTATGGTTAGAAATTACACTCTTTTAGATAGGTACAAAACTGTATTTAAGTATGATTACAAGAGCAGTTCAGTTTTCCTGTGGAAGGAGGACAGAAAAATACGAACAGTGTAACGAAATAGAGATAGCAAGAAGACAAATGAGATTAACAGACTGGATCACCAAGGAACATGGACATAGGAATGCTTAATGTTATAACACATGACTAGTTGCCTGGCTCTAGAGCAATCTTCACAATGTTGAGAGAGGTACTCAATCACCTGCATCTAAAAAACATCCGACATTTCAGAACAGCCTTCCCAGCAGCAACAGTGCAGAAAAAGAAAAAAAAGCAGATTTGTTAAAAGTACTGTGAAATTCCAATGCTGGCACATACTGTACTGCCTCTGTCAAGAACTGAAATACATCATTTTAAGATGCAGAAAAACCTATACTTGAATCTGGATATGCACAGACATACTGCTGCTGGTAGCTGGTACTCAAGTCTGAGTCTCCAAAAACCCAAGTAACTGGAGAGACTATTGTCAATAGCATGCACTACTTGTACAAAAGCTTAAGATTTAAACCAACTCACTTGGTTATTGGAGAGTGGTGATGGGAAGTGATGAGTGTGCAGATTTTTCCCAGTGTTAACGTGGGTAAGTCGTATGGCTTGCCCACATTTCACAGGTGTCCCACGCTGGCAACTGTTGTCACTCTTCCCACGGATCCGCCAGTAGCTGTTGGCATCATCTGAAGCTTCAACTCCTGTCACTGACTGCTGCCCACTTCCTGTTTGAATAGAATTAAATGACACAAGACTTATCCCGCCTCCCCAGTTCAAAAAGACACGAGAAAACTACAGAAGTTTGCTTCAATGTTGTCATGCCTTCATGTTTACGAGTGCTTAATTCTCACAGTCCATTTACTGACTGCAAAAGGAACGCAGGTACCAAATCATCTTTCAGATGGATGCAGTGAAACACAGCATGTGTTAGCAGATGCAAACTGTCAAAGTTCATGGTGAACGCAAGAAAAAAATCCTATCTATGACAGGTACTATTCACACCATCCCACCTTTATCAAAAATACTATCAAGGTCTTCATGTTCCCCAACAGACCAGCACCCTCGTTGTCAGAACAGACACTGGAAGGTACTGCTGAGGGCCTTGACACTGAGCAGGGGACGAGGGCAAAGCAGCCCTGTCACATCCCGACTCCAGGGCCCAGAAAGCAGCTGACACATCTTCCTGTCCCACAGGCCTCAGCATCCCTCTGTCTCTGTCGTGTCTCCAGCCCAGCCCTAAACCCCAACCGCGGCCTGCCACTTCCCTCTGCACCAAGGATATCAACCTCGGGAAAACCCAACTTCCTCCACCTTCCCCACAACCCTCACTGCCTGCCCACCCCCGCCATTTCCCTGTCAGGCACCACCTGTCCCCCCCGCTTCCTCGGCCCCTCACAGCCCGTGCCCCGCCATTTTCCAGCTCCGCGGCCAGGCCCTGCTCACCGGAGCCGTACTTGACCTCGTGCGAGTGGAGCCGTACGCTGTGGCGGGTGTTGAGCAGCTTCAGCACCGAGCCGCAAGTCACGGCGCCCGGCGCCGGCTCCCTGCCGTGGCACAGCCCGGGCAGCAGCGCCAGGAGCAGCAGCGCCAGGAGCAGCAGCGGGAAGAGGCGGCGGCCACCCCGCATCGCGGCGCACCCGGCCGGCCCCGCCGGCCCCTCAGCCCCGCCGCCACCGCCGCCCTCAGAGCGGCGCTTCCGCTCCCCCGCGCGGGCCCAGCGACCGCCCTGCCCACCGCCGCGCTCAGCCAATCCCCGCCCGCCGCCCGCCCCGCCGCGCGCTCTCATTGGGCTATAGCGAACCGGCAAGGCGGGAACTAGCCAATCAGAGAGCGCGGCGTGGCGGCCCCCCCGCCCTCCCTCGGGTGAGGACGCGAAGGAGAACTGCGGGCGCTGCTCCCTCACGGGGCTGTGCTGAGCCTTCGGCCCCGGGCCCCGAGCGGCGCCAGCCCCGGCGAGGTGTCACCCCCGGCGAGGTGCCAGCCCCGGCGAGGTGCCACCCCCGGAGAGGTGCCACCCCCGGCGAGGCGCCACCCCCGGCGAGGTGCCACCCCCGGCGAGGTGCCAGCCCCGGCGAGGTGCCAGCCCCGGCGAGGCGTCACCCCCGGAGAGGCGCCACCCCCGGCGAGGTGCCACCCCCGGCGAGGTGCCACCCCCGGCGAGGTGCCAGCCCCGGAGAGGTGCCAGCCCCGGAGAGGTGCCACCCCCGGAGAGGCGCCAGCCCCGGAGAGGTGCCACCCCCGGCGAGGTGTCACCCCCGGAGAGGTGTCGCCTCCGGCGAGGTGTCACCCCCGGAGAGGTGTCACCCCCGGAGAGGTGTCACCCCCGGAGAGGTGTCACCCCCGGAGAGGTGTCACCCACGGAGAGGTGTCACCCACGGAGAGGTGTCGCCTCCGGCTGCTGGGCACCCCCGGGACAGCGCTGGCACCACTCTGCAGTTTGCCCTTGCTGAGAACGTAGGAGGAGAGGCCAGGTCTGTCACTGCCACTGTCTGTCACTCGTCTAACGTGGTCTGGGCTGTATGAAAAATTACAGCCAGGTCAGGCTGAGGGGTTGTTAAAGGGCCTTGACGGAAAAGGCGCTGTGGGTAGGACCGTTCAGTTATTATCAGAGCAGGGAAGGACAAATGTCCTCACAGCGAGAGCAGTGTCAGAGACAGACCGGCTCAGAGTCACAGCCAGGTACGGGCAGTGTTTAGATCCAGCCTCGGGGAGCCGCAGTTGCACTGTCAGGTCAATCAGCCCCTGCTGTTCCATTCAGGCCACTTCTAGCTCAGAGCTGGCAGGCGGCACATTTAGGTCTGCTCCTCCCTGCAGTTCTGCCTCTTAGAATGGAGTAAATATCTAGCCGTTTGGGGGATTTACAGAGAAAAGTAACACAGTGTTGGAAAACAAAGGGAATTCATGTTTGTGAAGTGACTTGGATGATAATGCATTGCAGCTCCAGTAATTTCTGGATTATATTAGAGCTTCTAATTATAGGACATAATATAGTTTCTAATTATAGGGCATAAACACTACACAAAGAAGAACTAGCAATGGTTGCTGTTACATTAAGCTGTAGCAATAACATAACATCTTTGCTTTTGCATCCCAGAATTCACCTTCTGTGCTTCAATCTCTTGCAAAATTCTTATAACTAAGAAATTATTAAGCTCTATTCTGCAGAAAAAACCTGCATAAATTAACATACATACTGTCCTTTATTGCATAGTTTTGCAAACTGAAGAAATACCCCCCAAAAAAACCTCAATAAGAGGTGGCCATTGACAAAGGACACTTGAACTCCTACACAGTTCTTTTACCTCTGAAACTGCTCAGTGGTTTGACCCGTGTACCACATCCCAGCCTTGCGTGAGTCCCATGCAAAACTGTGAGTAATTCAAAGGAATTCAAAAAAGCAAAAGATTTTGATCTTAGTGACAAGGAAACAGGTAGAAGGGCTCCCACCTCGTGACTTACATCTTTGTAATAATGGCATTTTGTCCTTGCAACAGCAAAAAACTAAAACACTGCACTTGATATTACAAGATGATTTAGAAAGCACATTAGTGTTGCTGGGTAGTGCAAACATCATAAGATGCTCAGCTGACTCTCTCTTCCACAAGTGTTAAAGCTGTAAGGTTTTTTCCTGCCCATGTGATACCACTCAATCAAATGGTTAGTTTTTTGTGCTGGCTTTGGCCTGTTTTCCATAGCTATACCTACATTTGAGAAAAATCTCTGACTTAGATGCCAGGCCAGCATTACAACAAGCCCAAGTCTTAAACACAGGTCACATATATGCGTATGCACACACAGAGTGTGCTTTCCTCAGGACTTAAAACTCAATTCCTAGTGCTGGAGGTATAAAGCTTTACTCACAGAGAAGCAAAAGCTCCCCCACTGATAGTCAAATGCCATATTTTTACATCATTCTAAGCAGCCTTACTGTTCTAAGAGAACAACAATCAGTTTCCTGATGTCAGTTTGCAGGAGATGCTTGGCACTGCCAGGGCAGCCCGAGTTGTAGGCGGTGGCAGGTTGGGTCTGGGAGCCATCCTGAGCCGTTTGGAATTTTGGGAGGGGCAGCCCACTCGGGGTCACAGGCGCCTGGGTGGGGTGCAGGCCCCTGGACACGAATGCTGGCCCTTTTCTGTGGGAAACAAAACTCTCCACCCCAGTTTTGCTTCTGTTTTTATAACTGGGGCAAAACCAGATGTCTGTGGTTGCCATTTTAGCCGTGGAAAATCAATCATATGGGGCTTTAGCTGGCACCTGTCTGTCTTTATGGGAGGTCGCTCAGTCTCAGTGCATTTAGTGCCGTTTACATGGTGCTCCCTACAATGCTTTTCAGTCCCACTTTAGACACATAATTGGGTTAGAACGGTTGCCAACAAAGAACCCATCAATGCCTAACACCCACGGCAATTAACAACCATCTCATTGCCACAGGGCCCTCTATTGTTTCTGGTGGATTGTTGTAAACTCCCGGTAAAATTGCGTCAGGAATTATATGGCTTCACCTTGGTAATGGGAACATCAGCTTTTTTTTGGTAGGAATCTCTTTATGATTCTTGTAAATGTACAGAAACAAAGTAATTCAACAGTGCTGTAAAAGGGGAGGATGTAAAATGTAACCACATCTGTAGCCTTCATCTACTCAAAACACACACGCGCACACACACACACACCTGCCCCATCCTTATGCATTTTGGAAACTCCTACCATTTCCACTTAGGTGCAGCTGTAGGTTTAACCTGGCCCTCCCTGAGAAAATGATTGAGCAGTGCCAAATGCTTTTAACATGCAGGAATGAAAAATCTGTGGTACAAGAAAATTTCAGAGGGTGTACGCTTACCCACAGCAACAGATTATAGAAAAATTATATAGTTTTTATATTAGCCTATGTTTAAGATTCTTTAAACTTTCTGTTTGCATGACTGGAGCAGTTATTGACAACTAAGGTAGCAGAGCTGATAACTCCTGGGCATGGTCTATATCCCAAAACACACTGGTGCATCTTTTGGTATAGACAGCCCTTGATTTATGGAGATTATGCAGCAACACCTGGGCTCTTTCCCAGACGAACACAAACCTTAGGCAAAACAGACAGGGACAGTTCTGAAACCATTAGTACCTGATACAGAAACAAGCCCACATGAGCTCTTGCATTGACTTTTCTCTGCATCTGGTCCCTTCTCTGATGTCAATTAAGGTGAACTGTACTGACCTCAACAGAGTAGGTGAAGACAATAAGGTCTGCAAAGATTGTGTGCTTTTTTCCTGTTTCCTTTCACTCCACACTGAGGAACAGCTGGTTATAAACCTCACTTCAGATGAAACATTTGTCTCCACTGCCATGCCTTACAACAGAGCTCTTCCAACTGTGACCCCTAAGCCTCATACAAACAGTGAACAGGAGTAATAATGATAAAATATGTCACCTAGGGAGAAATCCAAGTGATAAAAAATGTCTTGTCAAAAATTTATAGAATTCCATTTTCTTATTACTGAGCCTAAATTGCTTAAGGATTAGATAATCAAAATAATTTACTCAGATTTTTGCATTCAGTAGATATAAACATAATGTAAGAATAAGCAGAGTAAGTAAAAAAGCAGAAGACATTTGACAAAAAGAGTATTAACATATACATACTTTTGTATTTAAATTGAAGATTTTTTCATCTGGGGGAGAAGAGTTGATTAATTGCTGTCTTCTATTTCTGGTCTTTGAGGTAGAGAGGATTGGGAAGTTCTGCAGAGTCCTGGTGATCTGT